AGCCGGAAGGCCACATAGAAAGTCCGCTTTTTTCTGTAACACTGTATTTATTGGTTTCACGAAACTGGATAGGTGTGAGATTAAATGTCGACAGAAAGTAGTAAAGTATGAGAATGTATTCCAAACCAAACCAAATATGCTCAAGGTGGTTTGCCATTGCCTTCCTTGAGGTGGCGGCTCGTTGGTCGCTCTATTTAGATAAATAAATATTTTTATTTAAATAAATAAGGCGACCGTACTGGCTGGAGATCGAACCCAGTGTCTTCCGCTCCGCAGATCGACACACTAACGCTGAAGCTACTGCCGGCTACAAAAATAAAGAGTTATTCCGTGGTTTAAAAAGATTTTTTAAGAATGTCAATTATAAACTTGGGTATAGTGCTAATAATAAATTACAACTATTAGGTAATCCTAAAGATAAAACACCTCCACTAGAAAGGTCGGGTATTTATGAAATTTCATATAAGGATTGTAATCAGAAATATGTTGGGCAAACTAGAAGATCAGTATTAACTAATAGATTTAAAGAACATATTATGGCTCAAATAAGATATGGTACACCGGATAAATCTATACTATTGTATAGAGATTAATATTTTGAAATTGATTAAACAAGTCTTAAATTACAGGCAATTAAATGCATATGGGAGCGTCCACATTAATAAATGTAAAGATCATATACTAAGGGCTGGCAAAGGTTAGTCTTGGGTCGAGATTTCCGTATGTAAGAGGAGGACAGTAAATACGTTGCCAAACGTATGAAATAAACCGAAAAACTGTGCACATCGCTAAGAGACGTGGAAGGGGATATAGCAGATTTGTCGCAGTTGACCGGTCGACCCAATCAATACCTCTGTCAGTACTTAAAGTTCTAGGGAAAGATGTACATCATGCGTTCAGCTTCACGATTTAATTACGTCTCGTGATGTAGAATGTAGAATGTTTAGGAGGGGAGTCAATCACCGCGACCTTATAGATCTATTGTGTGCCCCTTTCTTGAGTTATAACGAGTTATAACTCATCATACAGTCTCAGGGCTTTAAGAAAAGCCAGTATCTGAGACGGCTCCACAGAGGCCAGCTCTCCATCCTCGACATCAGACGTACCAAGGTTCATGGCACGAATGGTCGTCGTCTCGGCGCACTCAGTGATAAGGTGTTCTGGTGTTTCCCACAAAATCTGCATTCGCCGTTGTTTCTCAGTTTCAGCCTACTGAGGTGTTCGTTGAGGAGACATTGTCCTGTTAGAAACCCGTGACAATCCGAAGATTGTTTTTACTTAAATCAAGGAAACCCTTTTATTTTTCTCGGTCATAAGTTCTAAGGAACTTTTTCAAGTGTCTTAGACCGTTGGAGGACACCCATTCCAAGTTACGGATGGAGTCTTCCAGATTCTTCAGTTCCGCTTTCAGTTGGTTCCCGTTTGGAAAACAGAACGGTTCTAGTCCAGTTAGTGGAGTGTTCGCTCCTTTTCTAGCTAGATCATTTGCTTTTTCATTGCCTTCTATCCCTTGGTGAGCAGGTACCCAGAGTAGAAGGACTTTATTTTCTTTGCCTAATTTGTTGAGCTTCTCCAGGCATTCTTTGACCAACTTCGAATTGATGGTTACTGAGTTGATCGCGTTAAGTGCTGCTTGACTATCGGATAGGATGGCAATTTCCTGTTCTCGATAGTTCCTATCTAAGATAAATTGTACGCATCTTTCGATAGCGCAAATTTCTGCCTGAAGAATACTGGGGTAGGTGCCCATTGGTTCGGAGTATTCAGTTTTCGGCCCAAATACTCCTATCCCTGTCCCTGCTTTGGTTTTGGAAGCATCCGTATACCACATGATGGTATGGTCTTTTATATGCTGAGTAAGCGTCTCTTTCTTCTAATCCTTTTTATTACTCAATACTACAGTGAGGTGTTTCTCAAAGTTGTAAATTCTTGGTATGTCATCCACTGGGAGTTGGAGAAGTGGAATTTTCTTTTTGAGGGTGTTCCAAGCGTGTGTCTCGTGATACTTAATTTGTTTATTTATTAACGAGTCATTGTAATTTTCCCTATAGCTTGAATTTTTTTAAGTGCAAGTTAAATGTCATGTGTTAAAAAGTTGAGTTTTTAAATTATCGTGATTACTGACGTTTTCGTTATAAAAAAAATGACACCCTAACGATATCCTTATAATTCCATTTCAGATGCTCAGAAACATGTCTAATGATTTTATCTAGTTATCTCTTGAAAAAAAGTGTTTTAAAAATAAGCGGTTTGCGATCGCGATTTTACTTTACTTGGTAGGGAAAGGCGTATTGGCAACGCCGCAACAGCACACCGTCGCGCGTCGGTCGGTCGCATTTCTCTCACTCCGACCTAATAAGATCCCTATACGATTTACTTCCACACATATAAATGCCGACCCAAAAGTAACAGTTGCCAGCACGGTAAACAAAAATCATCAAGGAGACCCAAATCGACAAAACAACAAGATACAACTTTAAATCAGTATTAAAGTACGTAAAACATTTTTTTAACATGTACTTTTGAAGTGTATTTTTTTAGCGCGCACAAAAGTATATATTAAAAAAATGATTTGCGCGCCGCAACCGATGTGAACGCACTTTTAGACGCTCTACACAATTGTGAGAAAAGTCAGTGGCGCACATGTTTTTTTTTAGAAAAATATTCCAGTGATAAACCATATGCACGTCCCCGGTGAATCTGTCGACACTTTTTTAGCATTAAATTATAACGCCCTTATAGTAACTTTTACCGGCAAAATTTCATTAGAATCGCCTAAAGAACTTGGAAGAAAATTTTAATAATTCGAAAAAAATGTAACATCTTTTACCCCCTGTGGCTAAGGTGGCAAAGCAGAATCGGACCTATGTTAATATAAAAAATAAATAATATTTTGACGTTAAGAATCTCCCCACGAGAGATGGCACATATTTTTTAAAACGCCCTGAATAATGTATGCATTTTATGAGAATTGCATAATTTATATTAAAATAAATAAACACTGGTGTCAAAGGTATTGGCAGTAAAAATTTATCGTATAATTATTTTTATACAGTCTATTGGTGTTATTAAACGGTCATGAGGATTAGTCAAAAATTTCAAACTTACCCAATTTGACAGAGGGGTATCTATAAATCCATGTATTATAAATTTTGTCTTCTTATCGATGTCCAAGTTAGATCTTTCTATAGATTCATTTTTGGCTTTAACTATTTGTCCCTAGAAGTAAAAGAAATTTTAGAATTTAAATATTTAA